ATCCTGGAGAGACGGCCCTCCCAGGGTCAGCCAATTCCTAGAGATAGTGAAAGATCCACCTGCGAGTGCAGGTGTCGCGTGCAAGCCAACCGGTCCGGAACCCACACCCAACCACTTCCTGTGTCGGGTTCTCACACTCTGAGCCACTAACCACCTACCCCAATCACCCTGGGACCAGGACCAGGTATCAGACAACTAGGGACAGCCCCTGTACCCCAGAGCCTGCTGGGACTATCCAAACGGGCCAACCCTAAGCCTGCTTACCCTGCCTCACCCATTCCCTCCTGCAGAAACCACAATAAAGCCTCCTGCCCGACCCTGGGGCTTCCCCACGTGGCCCTGTGTGGCGCACCCCCTCCTCTTGGGAACTGCGGGTAATAAATGACGTTCCGATGGCTGCCGTCTCCTGCTCTGTGGACCTCACTACACCTCGATAATAATAAAACCTACATCTTAAAACAGGCTGTGGCTTCGATTGAGTCTCTAAGCTTGGCTCAGCAACCCCCTTTCCCTCAAGATGGAAACGCCCCTGCTCAAGGCTGTCCCCCAGCAGGTCACTCCATCCTGCTGCCCTCCACACGCTGATGGCAGGACCGGACTTCAGCTCCATCCCTCCTGGGCCTGAATGTGTCATAAAGCTCTATCTCCCCATCTTAGGAGACGGTCACTGCTTCTTCTGTCATCTTTGTGTGCCACATCGAATCCGGCAGCAAGTCTCAATGGCACCACTGGTAAAGCGTTTCTCAAATCAGATTCTGCAGGTGGCACCCGCCCCTCGCCCACTCTGTCCCTTCGCCACACAGCAGACAGATCCTCTCAGAGCACGAACCGGAGCACGTTATTCCTCTGCTTACAACCTCCTAACGACAGCTTTGCAGAACAATCCCCTGGTGCTCAGGGCCACGGGGGCCACGCTCTGAGGCACCTCTCCCCACCCTTGTCCACATGCTCCAGCCACTCCGGCCAACTCCCTCCTCTTCCAGAAAGACCCAAGTGGAGGCAGCTTTTGCCTTGGCTGTTTTGTTCCCATCTTCCTGGAACACTTTTCTGCCCAGAAGTCTGTGTTAGTTCTCGACACGACTGTCACCTCCTCAGAGGGGCCCCTCCTGCCCGCTCTACTTGTCACTCTCTGTCCCTCTCTTCTCAGCGCCGATTCTATGCAAGCATGTGACTTGCTTGTTTACGGGCTTGCAGTCTCTGCACTTCCTCCCACCCCCACCCCTGCAACGCATTTTCCTAGCGAGCAGGGGCTTGCTCGTGCACGTGCACAGCATCTAGAACAGCGCTGGCCTGGGGCTGCTAAGCCAATCAGCCCATTCACTTCTCTTTCCATTGCTCTATTTTCTGCAGTTCCTGAGACACAAACTCCCTGATCTACAGTTTTTGGTCCTCATATTTCCCATGGATCTGTGATTTTTTGCTTGTGAGCTCATCTTTATTGAGAATTTTCTTCCATGTGAGTCTTGAATGCCTCCGTGGGAAGCTCTACTTTTGACCCTGAGGGGTCCAGTGAGCTTCACTGGTTCTGACATTGATGCTTCGGCCTCAGCGGAGGTTGGGGTTAGGAACGCGCGCCCCGTGTGGTGCCCACTTCCAGGCTCCGATTCCTTCAGGGTGAATCTTTCTCTGCCCGCGGTCCAGGGCAGTCAGCCAGCTTTGGGCTGAGTCCCTGTGGCAGGCTAAGATTTTCTGGCCCTGTTGTCACAGACGGTTTTGACTCCTGGCTTGATTCAAGGAGCTCAGTTCTGATTGCATAAGAGGCTCGAGTGCTCAGCTCCAGCCAGGGCAGGAGTTCAAACCCAAGCTCCCTGGGCTTCTTTCTGGTTTCGACGCCCTGTGAGCCACCTTGGTGTCTGCTCCTGCTGGAATTCTCCCCTTGCTCTGGTCCTGGGGAACTTCCCTTTCTTGTGCTGGAGCTCAGCGTTGCGTTTTAAGAGAATGTCATATTTTACCCAGCATTTGTGTGCGTGTGGAGGGTGCTTGTCTGTTCAGTCCACTGCTTTCACCAGAAGGTCCCTTCTGGCCAATCCCCACATTTTTGTCTCTACTGCCTCTAACCCAAGAACCTGCCCCTCGGGCACTTTGCCGGTGCAGTTTGGTTTCTGTCCTTGTTAATGCCCATGCTTCCACGTCTGCTCTTTGGAGTTACAGTGCTCCAGAGCACCAAGCACGCTGCTGGCGCCCAGGGTGAGTGCAGTAAATACTTGCTCATTAAAGGAAAGTGAGCGACTCAATATTTTGCCACCAACAGCTGGTCGTGCTGGCTGGTGCTGCAGCTCACCCCCTCGCCCCAGAAGCCACTCCATCCTGCCGAACAACAGAGCGCACTGCAGCAGATGGGAGCAAGGGTGGAAATGAGGGAGAGGATAAAAAGGGTGGCAATTACTGGCTTTGAAGCCGATAATTCTAGCGGAGCCGTCCAGGGCTGGCAGGCAAAGGTGAAATACATTTCTCACCACCCATCTTTTTAACCTGCCCCCATGACAGCCAGACTCCTATGTATATTAAGAGGTGATATAACAATGATAATAATAGTAGCCAATATTTAATATTTATGAGCACTTATAGACCAGACATGTGTTAAGCACCTTAAATGATGTAAATATAAAAATAATTATGATTATCATAGCAGTTAATATACATATTGTAATAAATGCCAGGCACTGTTCTAAGTGCTTCTCATATTATTCGTGGACTCCTCCTAAACCCCACTATTGACCATCATGGCTCAGAAAGGTTAAGCAGCTTGCCCCAGGTCACACAGCTTTTAAGCAGCAGAGCCCCAGGCCTTGTGCCCAGGCCTCCCTTCCACACTGCCCCCTGTGCATATCCTCCGCCTGCATTATTTCAGTCTTCAGAATGACCCCTGAGATAGGAACTACTATGACCCGCTTTTACAGATATGAGAAAACGGGGGCTCAGAGAGGTGCGAAGCAGGCTGTGGAGGCGGCGCAGCCAAGTGCTGGGCACCCGAGCCGAAAGCAGCGGGGCAGCCCTCGGGACCACGGTCCTTGCGCGCACTCCTTCAAGTCCCCTTTTCAAAAGCTATACAATTTTGTTTTTAAATTTGTGTATTTCAAAGAATTTTTCTTAGGTTTTATTATGTATTTAAATAACGTACATCTTACCCTGCCTGCTGTTAGACCTCGATATGTTTGTTTCTAAAATTTAAATTAAAACAAAAGATAATTGAAAACCCCGCTCTTTCCCACACAGGAGCAGAGCCAGCGGGAGGGACACGACCCTGTCTGCCCGTCCAGGAATGTGAATCTCAGAGAGGCTGTCCCTGCCCTGCCGGCCTCCAGCCCCTCTCCATGCAGGGAGGGAGCCGGGGCAGCGGCGGGTGGGGAGGACCCGCCTGGGCAGGCTGGCACAGCAGCTGAGGGAAGGCAGGGACGGGGCAGGTGTGTGGTGGGAGCGGGTGGCGTCGGGTCCGGGCTCTGACCCCAGCCAACGGGGGACTGCAGTGCTGTCCTCCCATGAGCCATGAGGGCTGAACCGTTGACTGTTTGTAAAGTGCTTGCCATCTGTGCTGGGGACAGAGGAAGGCGCAGAGCCAGCATCTGCTAGATAAATCAGCGCCTCTGAATTCCGGACCAGTGAAGCCCAGCGGCACATGATGCGAGGGAGGGGCTGGAAGGGCTCCCTTCAAAGATGAAAGGGAGAGAGCTGCCACGCCCTCCCGCCATCTCATTCTCTGCCTCTGCAGACCCTGCTGGGGGAAGGTGCGGGAACACCGGCTCCTGTGCTGCGGCAGGGGTGGGGATGGTGGCCGGGGCACAGGCTGGAGGCGCCTGGCAGAGGAGCTCAGTGCTGGCTGCTGTGGCTGCAGGGTGGCCTCCCTGGCAGGTGGCCTTCTCCCCATCTGCTGCTGGCAGCTCCCCGCTGCCGCCTGTCATGACGGTAAGCAAGAAGCCGGCTCTTAAGGAAAATGCAGCTGCACCCTCCGCTCACCACGACCTCTCCACGGGCGGATCTGCTACCCGCTGGGTCGGCCTGCCGTACTAGGGAGCTAGAATGCAGGCGCTTTCTGCCCGCCCAGGCACCGAAAGGAAGCTCAGCTCCAGTGAACCCTTCGAGCAAGGGCATGACTGACTGTGTGGGCCAGAAACTTGGTTTCCGCGACAGACTTGCTCACAGCCACGGGGCACAGCACTGCAGCCCACACTGCGGGAGGCCACGCTGCGGGCAAAGTGAGGGCATCGGCGCGGGGTGGGGCGGACGGAAGGGAAAGAGAGAAAAGAGTTATTTGTAAAAAGGGTCAAACAGTCATTCTTTTTCATGAGTCTCTCTCTCCATAGAGCACCGGTTTCAACCTTAGCTGAACATTAATGCTCTGGGGAGTTTAAAAAAGTCCAGTTGCTCAGGTCAAACCCCCTACGTCAGTGTGTTTAGTCGTATTTTTTCCTAAAGTTAGCAAGTCAAAAACTTAAAGTTACACACGGTTCTAAAAGTCTTGAGCAAGGGTGGGAAAACCATTTTCTGTAAAGGACCAGACAGTAAAGATTTTCTCTGCTGCACCTGCGGAACCCTGGCCCGGCCAAGGCAGCAGCACAGGCAATGCGTGTGCGAGCACACGAAAGTGGATGTGTCCCAATAAAACTTTATTCACACGCGGGCCGGATTACGCCCATAGGCTGAAGTTTTCCCACCCCTCACCTGGAAGAGATAAGGAAGCTTTTGTAAATCCTTTAGCATCTCCAAACTTGCCCCTCCCAACGCAAAAACTACCACCCCCCCCACCCTGGCAGATCAGTCATAACAAATCATGAGGCCAGACTGACCGGAGCAGCCGGCTGGAGCTGGCGAAGGGCACCGAAGCTCGGTCCGCTCTGCCGCCTGCTCTGTGCATGTTTCAACAGTCTCCGCGATAAAAAGCTAACACAATGAATTTTTTAAAAAGAGAGGAGAACCTCCTCGGAAAAATCATGGGCCGAGGTGAGCAGGAGTGTGGGGCTCCGGGCCTGTGTGTGCGCGGGGCGGGCGCGCGGGATACTCACGACCAGTAGAGCAGCATGAGCAGGAAGGGGCAGATGATGAGGGCCTGCAGCACCTGCCAGTCCCGGCACAGCGCGGCCAGCCCAGGCATGAGGAACTGCCCCGCCATGGCCACGAAGCTCGCCACCATCGTGATCATGAACCGTTTTCCGGGCGGGCAGAGCTCTATTCCTGGAACACAGAACCGACAAGAGAGAGATGAGGGCCCTGCCCGGCAGCCGGGGCGGTCCTGGGCGCACGGGGGCCAGTGCGCCACGCGACCGACCGAGAACTGAAATCACTTTCATTTGCTGCCCAACTCGAGAGCCCCGCGAGGGATGCTGACGTCTCACAGGCAGGGAAGGGAGCAGGGTCGTCGCTCAAGGCCACGGAGCAAGTCGGTGGCCAAAGGGCGTTGTCAGCTCAGAAACCAGGAAATGCTGCTTCCTACAGGGATAGAGGTTTGCACCCCCCAACGTTCCCACCTCCTCTGCTCTCTGGATGTCACCGGGCTTGCCGTCCGGCGCGTTCCCTCTCACGTGCATCTGTTGCCATCCCTTCCTGCCCTGACACTGTACCAGGGGACTCTCGACATCTGGGCAGGAAGCCAGGCATGTCCACCTCCGCGTTCCCACCCGCCTGCACTGCCCATCCCTGTGGTCCCGACTCCAGGACTCCTCAGGACTCTGAGCTCCAGGCAGCCTACTCACGCTGTCAGACAGACAGACGGAGCCGAATCGCAGCTCGTTTATTAAACAACACAAAACAAACAGTGGAGCAGACTCGGATCACACAGTGATCATCCCACCAGAAAGCTCCTTCTCCACAGGACTTCTGTGGCCCCTGTAATACGTGCATCCCTTTCTCTGTCCCTCCCGGGACAGGGGCCATGTCCGAGCCATCTTCGTAGCTCCACACAAAAAACCAGTGTCTATCTTCAACAGACGCCCACTGAATGCAGGGAGACCACCATCCCTCCTGGTCTCTTCATTTCACCTCGAGTCAGAAAGATGGTCACAAAATTTTAATTGCTAGCACCCAAGTGACAACCGGTATAGACCTACTACATGAATCCCTGTAATAAAGATCCGTTATACTGGAAAACACGGCTGGGTTTTATATATTTTTCCCCCATAGTGCACGTAAATTTATTTGCTATTCTTCTACAATATGCAGTTTTCCCTTAAGTTTTCTAGCTTTTTAAATTTAAATTTTTTATTTCAAAATATTTCAAAAATTACAAATGTTTTTGTTACATGGATAGTTTTTATAATGCTTTAGTCAGGGCTATAAGTGTACCCATCACCCGAACAGTGTTCACTGTACTTGTTAGGAACGTTTTTACCCCTCCCCTCCTCCCCACCTGCCCTCTTCTTGATTTCCTGACAATTTTTACTTCTTTCTGTGCCCATGTGTGTCTGTCAGTTTGCTTGCTTTTTTTTAAAGTGCAGTAGGAAGAAGAAGGAGAGGAAGAAGGAAAGACCCCCGAGAAAGGACGCTTTCCACGCTTTGGTGTCTGCACAAAGGTTCAGGCGGTGCTTCGTGGATCACTTGCGACAGCTCACCTGCTGGCTGTGCAGAGACCACGGCAAAGGCAGGGGGTCCGAAGGCAGTAAGAAGGGGAGCAGATGAGGGGGACGAGAGACAATTATGCGTGGCCACAAGGATGTTGCTAGCCCTAACAAGGACAGGGCACTATGCCAGCCAAGCCCTACACCGGCTCGTCCGCTAGAAACAACAGTGCCATCGTGGTTTCCATTCCTGTTCAGCCACAAACAAGTCACCATCATGGCTATCGATGAGCAAGAGAGAAACCGCTGAATACTGCTTATAAAGGGCTCTTCACCATTTCTTTAGGAAAACCGGATCAAACAGCTCACTCCTGGCCACTTGCTGTGATGCTGTTCCTTTCAGTACCACAGGCCAGGCTCACTGAAAAGATCACTTCCTAGTGGGGTCCAGATTTGGCACTTCTGCTCTTAAAAATAACGGAGAAAACAGGGTCTTTCTTAACAAATGAGTAACTACTGTAGATTTTAGTTTTCACTTATTAAGCACAAGGCATAGACCTGCTGCTACGGAAACCAGAAACCTGCATTCGCCTCGGTAAGTTTAGCGTTTGGAAGCTTGGCACAGGCTAGTATCGGATAAGAAAATGTAGCATTTGGCCACCAGGTAACTGAAACAAAGAGAGATAATGTGGAAATAGCAAGATGGCCTCATGTCAACGGCTTGCTGGTACAGCAGACCTCGTATGTTGCTCGTGGTTTTTCTCTTCGTTACCTCTCTTTAACTTAGTGACATAGGAAGTATGAAAATATCTGCTACTACACTTCCTTCTCCACAGTCCCCCTTTGGGATGTCTACTTGCACATGCTGGTCTACACCGATGAACGTGAGGCTATGTGCCAGACCAGTGTCTATTAGCAGATGACTGAGGACAAACGGTCCCTTACTGGGCCAGGGATTCTACAGTCTGACTTCAGTCTCCCCTTGAAGCGAGTGAGTTGCTGTTGGTTGGCACATCTGTAAGGTGTTATTAAACTGTCATAGTTTTTCTTCCAAAGGTTCTCTCATTCCTCTCCCGTACACAAGTGGTCTGAGCGGCCCCCTAGGTCCTTGCTACCTGAACTGTGGTCCATGAACCTGCGGTGTCAGCGTCACATGGGAACGTGTTGGAAATGCTGCTTCTCGGGCCCCACCCAGACCTACAGGATCAGCATCTGCGTTTTTAAAATCTCCGGATGATCCTTGAGCAGCACCGCTCACTGCATTTCCCCAAAACCATAAGCAGATCTTGCCTCCCAGACATACCTATGGGAGCCGAAGAAGTGGAATCATTTTCTGATCTCTTCACTCCTTCCGTTTGTGCTAGGAATCCTAGCAGAGACTTTATTTCACCAAGGAGAAAATACACAGCCCTCCGGCAGATATCCAGTCTTTTAGCACCCCTGCTGAGGCCATGGACACACACAGTGCCTCCACGTAAGGACTCAGGTGTGACCATTTGCACATAAATAACTTTTTTTGCCTTGACTTGCCAGAAATTCTTTCCAAACTGCTGAAATCCAACTATGTTCTGAAGGTGGCTATAAAGATTTTTTTTTTTAATAAGCAATTATTAAGGAACTTCAGGTACTTTAGGTTTGCCATTAATCACAAGTTCCTTCTGGGGGATGAGAAATGAGTTTTCCGAAGTGGGAGAGGAAAGAACACATCGGAACGTTAAAGCCTTCAGTCCTGGCATCCGTCAGGAGGCAACGGGGCTGCAGGTGGACCTCTCTGCTCAGTTCTGCAAACAGGTGCAGTTGGTGCAACGGCTCTCACACCTTAAAGGTGGTTCCAGCCACCTGACCAGGGCCACTGGCCCTGGTCTTGAAAGACAAGGAATGCTGTCCCCACCCCAACTGCCCCCTCAGGGCCTGGCTACCATGGAGAGTAAGTCACCTGCAGGCAGGCACCCACAGCACCTGTGGACGACCCTGGCTGGAAGCTGTGTCCCAGTACTTCTTAGAGCCAATCTCCTTGCCAATGGAGCCAACCCCAAATCATCTTAGTAGATTTTCACTTAGGGGCAGCGAGACTCCTGATTATGTAAAATAATTAAGGATCACAATAAGCTGTCATCTCAGGTGATGCATCAAAGATTCAAACATTAAAATATCTCAAGTGTCCAGTGTGTAGTGCTTTCACTGCTATGGTTAAGAGACTGGACGCTGGGCCAGAGTGCCTGGGTTCAAATCCTGTCCCTGGTACCTATAAGCTGTGACTTTGGTTCAGTCATTTAGGAGTTCTGTGCCTCAATTTTGTTATCTGCAAAGTGGGGTGTTGTGAGCATTGCACTTGTGCCTGAATATAAGTGCTGTGTGTTAGCATTTAGGGGTCATAATATCATGCATTAGACTTGGGTCCCATCCCCCTGCATTACATAAATGCAAATATTCCAAAATCTGGAAAAATCTGAAATCCGAAACACTTCTGGTACCAAGCATCTCAGAGTAACCTGTTTAGAGTAATAAACATGAAATTCATTTATATTTCTTTTTAAAAATGTTTTTTGTAGAGACAGGGTCTCACTATGTTGCCCAGGCTGCTCTCAAACTCCTGGCCTCAAGTGATCCTCCTGCCTCGAGCTCCCAAAATGTTGGGATTACAGGTGTGAACCACCATACCTGTCCACATTTATATTTCATATACACCTTATACACATAGCCTGAAGGTAACGTTATATAAGATTTTACTAATTTTGTGCATGAAACAAAGTTTTGACTGTGATTTGACTGCAACCCACCACATGAGGTCAGGTGTAGAACTTCCCACTTGCGTTATCATTTAAGTGCTCAAAAAGTTTCAGATTTCGGAGCATTGCAGATTAGGAATGTTCAACCTGTATAATAATAATTATTCCAAGGTCACTCTTTGGGCTCATTTGACATAGTGAGACCCTGTCTCTTAAAAAATTAAAAAGAAGTACTTTTCCGCTAAAGCCTTAATGGAGAAGGCTCAGAAGCTACTCTTGGCAGCTAGATATACTTTGTCGATAAGCAGAGAAATTACTGAAGGCTGTGAGAATGCAGCAGCATGTAATTAAGGCTGCACTGAGGCCTTTGGTCAGTAACTACGCAGGGACCATGACCAGGACAGCCTGAGCACGCAGGCGCAGGGCAGCCCCGGGCTCTGCTGGAAACGTGGCATTGTTAGGAGACTGCAGCTCTGGGAAGATTTGCTTTTCATAAGTTTGCAGATTCTTACAACTCTTCTGGAGGAAAAGAAAATTGTGCTGCCCAGAGCAGTCACCTCAGTTGGTAGAAGAGGAAGGCCTGAGGGAGGGAGGCATCAAAGCCCAGGTGGCACCTGGCACCGCAGTCGTTCCTTGGGAGGAGGGTGTGAGGGTGAGTCCGAGGTGCCCACGAGGCTACGGTGCCAGGTATTCAGTCCAACCCTGGCCTCCGGTCGCTGTGAAGATATTTGATAAAGGTGAGTAAAGTCCATAATCTGTTGACTTTCATAAGAGAGATCATTCTAGATGATTTGGGTGGGTCTGACCTAATCCATTGAAGGACGTTGAATACAGAATTGAGGCTTCCTTGAGGAAGAAGAAAAAATTCTACGATTGTGTGAGCCAATTCCTTGCAGAAAATCTCTTAATGTATATCTCCTACTGGTTCGGTTTCTCTGGCCGAACC